TTAGTTTTCATTAAAGCAGATATGTGCAATCACAGCTGTTAGTTTTAGAGCCTATACATTTATCTTTTGTTTATTAATTATTTTTGTGTGCTTTTTGGTTAAATCATGCGYTGCAGTTTGTGTTCTCTCCTTTGTAACTTTTTTGAAGGATTTAAAAAAAAAGTCATCATTTACTCACTGCCAAATTCTGACAATTTGGGTATTTTTTCAAACTTGAGGTCAAAACGTGCTTCTTGTTTGTCAGATTCTGTGGAAGTATACTTAATATTTTTTATTAAAATTCACATTCACATCAATGAGAGTGAAATAATGAGTGGTCCTAAAATACTAACTTATTGTTGCCCTTCACGTTGTTCTTCGCCCTCCCTGTGGTCTGAGTTTGACATTGGCGTGTGTTAATGCCAGTGATAATGTTAAACCCTGTGTGAGGCAGCTGCTGGGATAAACAGTTTCTGTGCTGAAATGTGCTGTCACTGGGKCCTCAGAGAGCGCTACACAGGAGATGTCAGGGTAATAGTTGGTATTTTGGAAGGTTATTGTGTGTGTAATTGCGCCCGTTTTTGTTTCCGAGGTGAAAAGCTTGCAGCTGTGACAAAATAACCTATTCCGCAAAGGTTAGGAATGGTGTCACAAAGCTCTGATGGGGCCTAATGTCAGGACGAGAGCGAGCGCTGAGGAGGCAAATAAACGACCGGTGAAAAGTGTTGGTGGCAGACGTGACATACACTAAGGGGAGAGAGGGTCTTAAAGATTAATACAGGACAGGAAGCCAGAAATCTCAGCAGCTCCTGACATCAGAGGAGAAAAACACGGGACACGTTGGGGAAGATTGAGGAGAAAAGGTATAAAGGTTAATATTTAGGTATGATTTATTGACGTGGCAGCTCTCAGGAGGAGGACCTTTAAACCATCGAATCTGTCATTTTCTTTTCTAAATTCCCTCAGCTTGAGAAACAAATAGGCCTCACTCAGTCCTTCGGACCTCTGGAGAAATCCTGCAGTGTTCTGATGAAACCATTAAGGCTCCACTTTTTACTGTGGCGACGCCTGGACTGATAACTGCATCGCTGCTGCAAACCCATTCACCATTATGCAGGTTAAATATGACAACTAAAGTAGTAATTCAAACTAAATACAGTAGCTAAAAACTGAAACATTATTGTGTGTTAAATATTTTGGGAACCCACGGAAAATCATCTTTGCGCCAATTTTTTTTTAATTGAATTTGTAAATAGACGTTTTCATCATAAAATTGTAGGATGATGACGTGTCAGCTGTTGTGCTTTATTTTCTGTTACAAATGCTTGATTACTCTCAAAAAAGCCCTGATAGTTCTTTAATCTTAGATTCCTTAAAGCAGGGGTGTCAGCCTCCTTTTCAGCGAGGGCCACATGAGCATTATGTTTGCCCTTAAAGGGCAATAACTGAGCTCTACATGGTATTTCCTGCATAGAAACAGCATTTTAACATTTTCTCTTGTGAAAAAAACTGAAAAGCACTACGTGTACAAATACTATAAAAGTATTTTTGTGGTGAGTCATCTTGAACTCTGAACTGGGGTGGTCGAAGTTCGTCCCACTTTCCAACAAGGAATTCCCCCTGGAGAGGTTGTTCTAGTTTATATTTACGACTTGTAAGTGGGAAATTCCTACTTACCAGTACAACTGGGCTGCAGAAAAAGGAAGATTTTACACTGCTGGCTACTGGCTACTTTTAAACCCTTTGCACCTCCACCTAGTAGTGAGGTGCTGTCATTGCCCAGGTAAAATAATCATAAGGCATTATGGGAGATGCAGTTTATGGTCAATGTTGGCTTTGAAGCAGCATRCACTTATTATAAGACAATACACTTTTGAAGCTCTCATGGACCACATRAAATGYTGCAGTAGGCCACATTTGGCCCACWTGCCTTGAGTTTGATATRTGYACCTTAAAGCCTAGGCACTTAAAAAWCAGTTTTCTGTAAAGATAAAATACCAAGACTTTTATGTCTTACTTTACAAACCACTGAAGTGGTAAGAAACACAAACACTGTGTTGAAAACTAACAGAGACATGAATGATGGATGAATGGATGAACTGCCCTTCAGTGGCAGCTGTGAGGGTAGTTACAGAGATGGAGTGAGATGTAGCACTTGATCAAATTTACTCCTTTTTCACCGATGTTAAACGTTCACTGCTTGCACTTTAATGATTAGCTCTAATTGTCCAGATGTAAATCTTACAAAGTACAAAAACAAAAAGAGCACTTCCCTCATTTCTTCATGTTTGACACATCTCTGTCTTTAGCCAAGTTTGGCTGTCGAAATTCAAACCATTTTAGAAACTCTTCAGTGTCCCTCTGAGCTAAAGAGCCGTTTTGGCCTCGCTCCAGAGCTGGATTTGCCGAGAGCAAATCTGGACAGAGAAGCTTTTACCTCTTCACTGGCTTGTTGGGTTGTTTTGGCTGAAACGAAAGGATTTAGATATTATGTCCTGCATGAATGTAGAGAAAATCTGTTTTAGTACCAGGAGAGATGATGGTAAATTCCACGGTGTGGGGCAACTTTTCTGACACTTTATTTTGAAATTCAACAAACACACCTTTATAAGTACTTTTCCCCTTTTTGTTTGCCTTCTACTCTGTGTTCTTTTCCCGCTTACACAAATATATCAGTATTTTTTATTATCTGAAAAGTAACGTTTTTTATCTCTGTGAGCTACAGTTGTTTGAATGGTCTGAGACTCACATGTACTGTTTTTATGACATCTATCAATGTAAATGAACCAAAAAAAACTGAAAATTTGAGGAAAACACTCATTTATTTAAAAATGAACAGCCTTAGAAGATAACTTGGAGCTAAAAACATGTTCAGAAATAGCGCCATGGTCACAAGCCAAGTATCCAAGTAGTTGGGAAAATGCATAAGACTGCCTTGATGAAATATTTTGGATAAAAATTCATATGAGCTCATTTTTTTATTAGTGCCATCCAAAACCTCAGTATGTTGTAACCCAGTGAAATAGTTTCACAATGAATGCAGTTGAAGCCTTTCAGTAACAGCCCAAATTATGCAGACACGCATCTCTCTGCAGGACTGAAGTGACAGAGAGTCAGAACGGGATGATGATCTTTTAGAAAGCCAGAGAGGGCACAAGTTATAAATGAGAGCTGGAGGAACGGGGCAGTTGTGTGGAGGCTGCGCACGCATGAACAAACTGCAGAGGGAGATGTGTTTCAATTAGAGAATCACCGAATGAAGGATGGATTTAAAGCAGAAAGAGAGCGGAGCGAGGCACCGAAGGATACGGGGAGGAGGGCGTCCGGAGAGGGTGATGGAGGAGGAAACGGAATGAGTGATGAGAAGGTGGAAATAGAGGCGGGAGGAGAAAGGAGAGGGBGGCTGTGGGATAAAAGAAGGATGAGATGGAAAGGAATTAGATAAGTCACCGAGCAGAATGACAAATGTAGACCGTGTGCTGTGAGAAAAGTGCAGAAAATGGGCAGAGGCTACACTAAAAAAAAGATTTTTGGATGTACTAACTTTTATTTAATTATTCTTTTAAATTTTACAAAAAATCTGAATTTCTAAACTACTAGAATCTAATAAATAAACAATACACACGGCTGTGGCGGAGTGGTTAGGGGAG